TGACCTATGAGGAAAGATTGAAAAAATTGGCATTTGGATGCTACAGTGGAAGATTCTGTGTAGTTCAAATGCATCTCAGTTCTGAGCTGCAACAGCCCACTATTTTTGTATTTCATTAAAATTTTATAATTGAGACAGAGCATAGCAAAATTAGTGTCCTTATTAAATTGAACAGTTCCATTATTTGTGGCCCAGATTCTGACAGTTCTTTATAAAGCTGTGCAAAGTTAGGGGAAGGATAGAAGGAGGCCTCCCCCTCCCCCACCAAGTTCCTGGCATAGTGGTGAGAAAGGGGAGGCAGGCAAAGGCACATTCAAGGAACAGAGACTTTGCTTTCTCCATGTGTCACTGGAGAGCATATTGCCACAAAACAGAAAGGGAGTAGGGCCATGTCCTTGCCTCCCCTTTCTCACAAGCCTGTATGGATAAGTACACTGCATCCCTTAAGGAGTGTAGCAGTGAGTGTGCTCTCCCTGCATACTGGCTGTTTGTTCCAGAGATTTTCCAGGGTAGTATCATATCCCATTATATCCAATAACTATGGCACTGATCTTGCATACTGAAGTCACTGGGGCTCTGTGCAAGTGCAGGGATTTGCGTGCCCAGAACATCTTGCAAGATTGGGAGTTAGGCCCTGGATCCACAAAGGTACTTAGGCACATAAGTCCTGTTTTTAGATGCCACTGTGATCCCCAAAACTGTCACTCAGCTCCCACCTAAACTTGCTTGGAACTTAAGGTTTTGCAGAAAAAGTTCCCTAGGTCCCTAAGTTTTGGCCTCTGAGCATGTGCACTGCTGTCTCACTCTAGGAATATGGGTACCTATCTCCTGCCTAAGTCCCAGAGCAAACTAAAAAAAAGGTGAAGGTTACCACTCAGAATCATAGAACTGGAAGGGACCTCAAGAGGTCATCTAGTCCAGTCCCCTGCACTCAAGGCACTCTTCCAATTAAGTCACATGTATGGTCTTACCCAGTTGGCATGCTCAGCAGCCTCCTAACACATCACACACAATACCCAGAGAAAGACAAGGACCTCCCTTATAATCTTTAGCCCAAGGGTTAAAGCACTTATCTGGCATGTGGGTGACCATCCATTCAAGTCCCCTCTCTGCCTCATGAGGTGAAGTGATTTGAACAGGAATCTGTCACTTCTTAAGTGAATGCCCTAACCCCTAGGCTATAGAGTCACACTCTCTCTAGCTCAATTTGGGGTGCGGGGGATAGCTCAGTGGTTTGAGCATTGACCTGCTAAACCCAGCGTTGTGAGTTCAATCCTTGAGGGGAACATTTAGGGATTTGGGGCAAAAATCTGTCTGGGGACCTCCTGAGGTCCCTTCCAACCCTGATATTCTATGATTCAATTACTGAGTTAAGTGGAATAACCTCAATAGGAGAGATTCATAGTAGACTAGCCTCGAACCAAAGGGTTAGACCACTCACATGAGAGGTAGTAGAACCCTGTTCAAATACCATCTCATTAGGAAGAGGGAGGACTTGGTCTGTCACATTCCAGCTGAGTGTTCTAACCACTGGGCTAAAAGTTATAAGGGAGCTCCTCCAGGGCTGTTTTATGTATAGTTAAGCAGCCTCTGAGCACAACTACTGGATCAGGTCATACTTAACTTAGATGGGGGAGCATCTATCTTCTCCCACTTCATGGATCACCTGCCTTGTTGCAGCCCACACTTAGGTGCCAGTCACCATGAGAGGGGTGGGGCTTGGCATATATCCCATCAGCATCATGACTAACATAAGCAGCTCCCCACCTAGCTTTGTAGATCATGTGCAAAGTTGCCTCTCTCTCCCCATTCATCATACTAACTCAGGCTTTGTGCATCACAGCATTGTGCCTGTGATTTTTCTAGTAGCTTATTGTGGCACTGAGCATTGCAACACCTTGGTTACTGTGTCTGGTCAATGAATGGAACACTTATTGATTTCAATGGGAGCTGTGTGCACAGCCTATACCAAAATCAAAGAGAGCACTAATTAGAAAAATTTGGATATTCTCTTATTTTTTTCTTTTAATTTGCAATATGATGAAGTGCAAAGGAAGCAGCAAATAAACACCAAAGCTGAGATTAGTTTAGAGCAGAGTTTAGTGTTAGATTTTTTCTTTCAGAAAGTCAGTGCTACAATAACATTCACATTAGTTGATGAACACTCATCACATTTAAATGTTGCTTATCAAAAAGCAAACAGTATTGATTAAAGACAACTATTCTATACACTGATCCAGCTAAAAAAAGACCTCATTTCAGAAACATATTTCTAAAAACTAATGTGATCTTCAGAATTAAAAGAAGCCTGTAATTAAAAGCTGATGTGGGGAATTTTCCTCCCTTCTCTCACAGTATTTCCTTATATTCTGTACTGCATATTTAATCACTTTAACAAGGTCAACCTTGTTCTGCCTCAGTTCAATTCCTGAACTGAAAATCATACTTATATAGTGTTTCAGAAATACAACATTTTCCTCTTGCAACTCTTGATCAAGCATAGGACAATAACTATTACAAACTCAGTGCTGACACACACAACTGTTTTTTGTAATCTAAAGCTCAAGAGTGTAAATTAAAGCACAATCTGTCATGAACAGTCTGCAATAAGAAAGTTTATACAATAAGAGTCCAAACTAGGATTTTGTTGTTTTAAAATGAAGCTACTCAAATATGAAGAATAGTTAGGGTCTCTGAAATAGATGGAGAGTGTGGTGGTATGGAAAGATTCTGTTACTCGTTTCCCTATTCCCCCCCATTGAACCTTTTGTTGCTTTCTTTCTTTTTGCTTCTTCCATACAGGAGAAGACAGACTGGGTTCCCTAACAGCATGCACCCTCCTCATGGTCATGTGTGTCTGGGCTATACACATTGGGTAGAATTCACAAATATAAATAGGTGCTTAACTCCCACTGATCCACCAAATCACCAGGTGCTGAAATTCTTCAGGGAGATGCTGAGTTCTGCTGACCAATTGTGGCAGATGCAGCTTGTTAACCCAATCTGGATATAAGAGAAGTGGGAGTGAACACTTTAATAGGAGTATTTTAAGGTTTGGAATCAAGATGTTCTAAGAGATAAACTATAATCAACTAAGGCTGAGGGTAAAGCTAAATCCCACACAATCGATTAGTGTTTTTGAACAAAGTGGAAACTACTCCCATGGGTATGTGAGAAAGATCTAATGTGTATATAACTTTACATATTCAAATAATTGTTACTTGAGCTTGCCCAGAACAAGTAAAAGACACTTCTTTCCTCTGCTCTAGCTTAAGAAATAGGCTTGAAGGAACTGATTGCCATGAGATATCATTGAAGCCAAGAACTTGGCAGAATTTTTAAAGATTAGACAGTCATATGCATTACAAGAACACGCAGTGTTATAAAATAAATACTAAAAAGAACTTGGGAAGGGATATAAGCCCTCAAATTTGGGGGCATAACCCAGCCTTTAACCACTGAAAGCTTAGGAAGAAAGCTTTCCCTGAGGCCAGGATATTTGATAATTGCCTACAATAGGAGTTTCTGCCTCTTAAATAGCCAGTGCTAGCCACTGTCAATGCCAGGATACTGAACTTAATGGACTCATGGTCTGGCTGAGCATATTCTCTCTCTCTCTCTCTCAAACAAACAAAAGCTCAGAATATTAGGAAAATCTTTGTTGCTTCATTCACTGAGCTTTAAATCCCTGTTTCTGAAACTGCTTGGGTGATGTTCCCTAAACTTTCAGCCATGGTACGACAAAATGGAGGGGTTGGGGTTTCAAAATCAGATTTTTAAAACTTCAGTCAGGGAGCAGAGGCAGGGCTTATTAGGGGTGAGCAGCTTATCTTGTACCTCCACAGTGCCTAGCACACATAGGGGCTAGAATTAGGGGTGCTGTGGGTGTGGCAGCAGCACCCCCTGGTTTGAAGTGATTTCCATCATATACAGGGTTTGCAGTTTTGTTCAATGGCTTTCAGCACCCCCCACTATAAAACACTGTTCCAGCACCCCTGATAGCAAGGGGGCCTGTAGATGACTTCACAGCGGATGGGTCATTAGCAGTAAGTCAGGGGCCCCAATCAAGGCTGTGACCCCAGTCCCAGAGGCGAGCGGCGAGAACACAGGCTCGGCAGGGCCCCGACGCACCTGCTCACCTGTCTCCAGCTGGGGGGAGGGGGGTGCGCAGCCCGGCCACGCCCCCCCACGGGCTCAGCGCAGGCGCCCTGGCGGCTACCGCAGGCAGGGGGCGGCAACATGGCGGAGTGAGCGGCGGCGGCGGCTCCGGTTCCACAACAACAGCGGCTGCATCGGCGGCGCGGCCAGCGGCTCGCAGACCCGTGCCCAGCCCGCTTCCCAGCGCCGCCTCCGGGCCGGGCGCGGCGGCTGCTCCTCCGGCCCCGCTGCGGGGAGGCGGCCCCGGGCGGGCGGGCTCCGGCTAACGGGGCAGCAGCGCCCATAATAATCCCTCATTATAGCGGAGCGGCTGCCGGGACGGTCCCTGCGCCTCGGACCGGCTCCCTGCGGCCCCGCCGGGCGCTGCTGCGGTGGAGGCTGGGCTGGGCTCGGCCGGGGGCAGGTGCCGGAGGGCGCGGGGGGTAGATGGCGAGTGAGAAGCCGGTGTCAGGGCCGGACCCGCAGCCCGCGGGGCTCATCCCTGTCGGGGCCGGAGGAGGCGGCGGCAGCGCCGCGGTGATGGGGGAGCTGCGAGCGTCGGGCTCCGGGTCCGTGGTGCTCCCCGCGGGGATGATTAACCCGTCGGTGCCGATCCGCAACATCCGCATGAAATTCGCCGTCCTCATCGGACTCATCCAGGTCGGGGAGGTCAGCAACCGGGACATCGTGGAGACCGTGCTCAACCTGGTAAGGGGCCGGCACCCCTCCCCATCGGCACTCCTGCGGGCAGGGCTAGGGCAGCCCGCGCCCCCTGCCGACCCCCGAGGGACCCAGGCACCTACTACGCATCCTCCCCAGCTGGCGACTTCCCTTCCATAGGCACCCCACCCATTCCCCCCATGCAAATTCCCACCACTGCTCCCTCCCTAATCCTAAAACCATGCGTATCCATTGATTGCCCCTTTCCCCCACCCCGATCCCCTACATGCACCCATTGCTCCCTCTCCACCCCTAGGAGAGACCCTGGCATACTCCACCCTTCCCCACAATGCCGGTTTGTGAGACGCACACTCATCCATATGCAACCCACTCGCTCTACCGTGTACCTAATGGCTCCTTCCTCACCCCTCTGCTCAGCCTAAACTCCACACAGGACCTCAGCTGGTGAAACAAACACGTACTTTTTACAGTCTAATTTCCCTTCTCCTTCCCCTGCCCTGTCTTCTGTTGTGGAAGTGGAGTGGGTGCAATTTGTTTGTTGTATATTAGAACCAGTAATTAACTTCAGGTGCTTGCAAACTGCCAGATAGCCTGACCACTCATTCCTCTGAAGAAAAGGGGCATTTGATGTTGTATCTGTTTTTAATTGTATAAGATTGAAAAGCAGCCCGAGCTGGTATCTTTCCTTGCAGATGCAAATGTGTGAAAGATTTAACCCTGTTAGCTCGGAGCTAATCGGGTTTGATATGTTGAGTTTTTGCTTCCTTTTAATAAGTGTTTATTGCTACAATCTGTTGTGAGCAAACGAATCCCTTACATCTTAATCCCGTTCTAGTGTACCAAACTGCATTCTTGCCTCCAGAATTAAGGGTGTCAAAATGGTCTGTATGATGAAAATCATTATTACATGTGGGTAAAACACACACAACAAGAAAAGGATGTTGCAATGTAGCTCCTTGGTCATTCACTCACTTCATGGTATGAAAGAGTTACTGCAAGATTGTATGACTTAATGTTTTTGTGCTACCTACACTAAAGCCTGGGAAACCTACAGAAGTCTAAGGAGAGGGAAAAATGGATCTAAAAATGAATCACTTTCAATTATGTGTAATTTGGTGCTGCTCCTGAATGCAAGCTTCACTGCAGCAAAGCTTTTGAAAGCAGTTCAGTCAACGAAATATATCCTCTATTTTACTTATGAAGTAGGATAGAAAGCTACTGCTTAAGACTGAAGGGCACTTAATTTAAACTGCCATTCTAACAAACAAGTTTAAAATGTTTATTTTGTAACAAAAGCATGCACAGAGATAAAATTGTATCTGGCACTTTAAAACCATGTATTCTTCCGATGTTTGACAATTATTTGCATTTGACCTAATGCAGGCTGAATGGAAGAGCTGCAGCATTCAGAGAGAGACATGGGTTGGTTAGATCATTTTAATCTTTATGGCTTATATGGATGCACAAGAGTTAAAGCTCTTGTTTTGTGAATATGTCAAGTCAAAGACCGACAACTGATAGGAGTTTCCTCTGTTGTCTTTTCAAGCTGTTTTGTCTTTACAAGTAACCTTTCAGATAAACTATTGTGGTATAAGTTGTCAGAACTTGGTAGTCATCACTTTACTGGATATTATCCATTCATTTCACAGTAGCACTGGGAATAGGGAAATAACATGAAGTAATTTCTTTTAGTAGCTTCAGATAGATCATGACGTAAGTGTAGAGTGCTTAATCTTTTTCCTGTGTTTAACCTCACTTGTTGGTATTGCTAATCAAAAGGGAAGAAGTTTAAATTTGACAGCCTAATTGCTGATACACAAACTAACATTAATTTTTGGTTTTGGTTTTTGTTTGGTGATATTTCTCGGAAAGTCATAAAATGTTTGTTAAAATATTTGGTTACAGGATCTATCCACTGTTTGTTTAGTTATTGTTGAAATGTATGCACTTAAATCTAGAAATATGAATAAAGGTTGTAGTAATACTTTCAACATCAGGGGACACACGTGAACATAAAACCACTTGGGAAGCTACTGCAGTAGCTATGCATTCTGGATAAGTCATTGCTTAACAGATGGACTCAGGCATACAATAGCATAGAAAGAATATCATCTTTCTTTGATGTGGAAATATAATCTAACACTCTCCAGTGCACTGCATGACTAGTATGCATTTATGCTTATATTTTGGAAGTTAATTTGCTCACAAGTAAAACAAACAGAATGAGCCTGGAAGCTAGAAAACAAAATTATGATCCTGTAAACTACCAACGTTCCCCTGCTGCTGCATTATTGATTTTTTAACTCCAACTATTTAAAATGAAATGCGTTTCTTTATTTTTAGAGGTGGTGGGGTTTTTTTTTTTTTTTTTAGGAAAAGGTTGAGGAAAACAATTTATAGTTGCTATGCTATACTATTTATGAATGAGTGTCCTTTAGTTGTGTGCGCTAATGTGAATGGGCATTGTTTAAAGTGCTGTCTTCAATGACTTCTTGGATTAGATGATATAGTGTGCCAGTCTCTGACATTAATCTTGCCTTTAACTATCCCGTAGCACGTACACAAGCCATTTGGCGGTGTCTAGCTTTGTTTTGTTTAAGGGAGTCTACAGTAGGTTGGGCTTCTCTTACTACCTTATAGGTGGCTGTCCCAATAACTTCTGATTCTTGAAAAATGACATCTGTGATACAGTCTGTATGATGAAAATATTCTCTGTATCCAAACATAACATAGAATTGAGAAATTGCGGTCCCTGAATTGATGCTGAGCCGGCTATAATGTTGGGAAATCCTGATGTAAGAGCATTAAAGTAAAACTACAACATAACCATCAAATATTCTAATCACTACATTTAAGTAAAAGTGAATAAACTACTTAAAAATGCCCTTGAATCACTTTTTATATTGTATTTGTCTCAAATGAACTAGGTTTTGACTGAGAAATTCTTCTCATCTGTGGCATACGGGAAAGGTACAAAGATTGAGGTTTAAGTGTTGTTGCTGTTCACAATTGTTTAAAATAAACTGCTGCCTACATATAAGTTATTGAATAAATTGATTACCTTAAATTAACTCTGAAAAATCTGTTTGAGTATTCCAAAATTATGCCACATTTCTCGCATTTCCCATCAAGTGATCCAGTCTGAAGTAGTTCAAAGTGTACCATTTAAAAATCAACTTTTGACACTGCAGTGACATAGTACCGTTGTATCTTGTAGTACGGAAGATACTGTCACCACTGCAGGTACTTCTGGAGTGGGAATATTGGGTGTGTAATGGTGCCCTCTGTAGCAACAAAACAGCACACTCAAGCTAAATTCTACCCTCATTTTTACTCTTGCAATCCCATATATGTCATGGTAGAATTTGGCCCTTAATTATATTTATATTTATTAATATCCCAGCACTGGTTTGAAAGTTCCGGAATTAACAAACTGGTACATTAAAACATTTATCTGTTCCTTAGTCAAAGATTTATTATAGGGATATTTTCCTTTGAAGTTTTGTCTTGTGGAGTCAAACTGTTCAGGACCTTTATTTACCTCCATGTGTGCTGATATAGGTTAGTTTTGAACTATCAATTGTGGGGTTTAGTATCAAATTTACTCCTTTCCCCCTACTTCTTATGAAAGGTCATCTTGAAACTGAAAGTGTAGCTAGTTAATGGTCTTTATAGAAGATACTATGTTGACTGTCAAAGCATCTGTTAGGTCACTAACCAGAGTGCATATGTTGCTGTCAGTGCTCAAAGTAAGTTTTAAGGTTTGAAGCCAGGTAGAAAGAGGATGGCTGAAGCCTGGCATAACTTCTAGACATATAGAATTTTTTAAAGGGCTAAGAAAGATGGACTTGGAGACAAGCTTTATAATATCGAATTGGATGCAGTTCATAGCTCTCTTAGGAGCAGGATTATTGATCCCCTTCATGGTGGTGCATGGACCTTCTGTAACTAAAGTTTTGCTCTTCTGTGTCATAATGTTTGAGAAAATAATTGGACAGGATCAATTTGGTGAATGAGACTGGGGAATCTACTGACTATTTCTCCTCTTAAATGTAGTGGCAATAAAATTGGTATGGAGGCTATCAAAGCTCTGAGGATCGTGTGGAGGAAGAACTATTTCCTTAGCCTTGGAAGATTTCTCCCCCACACAAGAACTGTTCAGATTGTATTCTGGAGCTAGAATTAGTGTTTAAAGAGAAACTTGTACAGGTATAACGACATCAGTGTAGTTATGTTGGTGCAGCCCTTTAATGTAGATACATGGAATTGATGTAAAATGGGGGTTGCCAGTTACAGATGCATCTTAGGCTGGTGGAGTGTAGCACATCTGCACTTGGGATTTGTGGGGTGCGAAATAGAGCCTCAGGTATCTTAAAGTTGTTGTTTCAGGGTGTGCGTTTTCCAGATTTTAGAAGTAAATGCTTCATTAGTTTACATTTTATTTGCACTTGGAAGGGTTTCTTAACTGTAAAAGCTAGGATGCATTTTTTTTAAATGAGAGCTTAATTTGCAGTAGCAGATGAGGTAAGATCCCTGCGGAAGTTTCCTCTCCCCTTTGAGTGGATTTGTCAAGCCTTATGCTATATTATGGCTCTCCTAGTGATAGTTCAATGTAGGTAATGAACTTTTTATCCCCCTTGACACTGACAGTTTCTCTTGCTAGAGTGTATTTGGAAACAAACTTTGTTTATAAATCTAAGAGAACAAAAAAAGCGTATAAAATCATGAATATAGCACTATATTACTGATGGTATACTTAATGGCTAAACTCAGGTGTTTGGCAATTTCTAAGTTTCCTTTTGTATTGAAAGTTCTGATGGATGGTCCTATAAAAAGCCAGATCTGGTTAATCTGTCAGTTTGTTTTCCAAGCATAGAAATATACTGTAAAATATTTTCCAGAAAGTTGGTAGTGCTCTTTATCAAATGTTGTGTTTACATATCTATGTAAAAAACCTTGGCATGAGTGCAGTCACTTGTGGAATGTGCTCTTAAGGTTGAAAATAATTGTTACAAGTAATAATGTAC